TTCTCATGACATGGCCCCATCGCATCGCCGCCTTTTTTTAATGCGCCGTCGTGCGAAGATTGCACTCACAAAACGAATCGCTTGGATTCGCTGCACACTTATCGAAAAAGTGATCAATATGGCTTCTCTTCCTCCCCGCAAGCTCTTTATCGGAAATGAGGTATGCCGCGGCCGGACTTTGGTGGTGTTGCGGGATTGAATGACGCCACTAATTTGAGATCGACAATCAGTTTGTAGACTCCCAACACAGCAATGGCGAAAAGTTGACGTTGCTGAACCCAGTTGACGACTCGGTCGTCGTGGATGACCTTCAATTGGCCGGAAAAGAAGATGTTGACCGAGCCGTCGCGCTTGCAAACGAGGCATTCCGAAAAGGGACCATGGGCTTCGTTTACTGGTGTTCAGCGCGCCGCGTGTCTCAACAAATTCGCTGATATCGTCGAGAAGAATGTCGACCATCTTGCCTACTGCGAGTCCCTTCCCACTGGACGTCCCATTGCAGGCATTATTCACATGGATTTGGCTCACATGGCCCAAGTTTTCCGATGTAAGGTCATCAGTGAAAACAGAGCTGTGAAATACCTTTCTGACAGGATCAGATTACGCTGGATGGGCAGATAAGATTGCTGGACAATCGTTCTCAGAAGACAACGGCTTTGCCAAGATCGTTAGATACGAACCTCTGGGCGTGTGTGCGAGCCTGGCGTCCTACAATGCGACTTTCCTCTACGTCGGCTGGAAGCTTGCGCCAGCTCTAGCGGCAGGAAACACGGTTCGTTGCCAAAGCTGTCCTGTTTCGTGGCACGCTTCGTTACTCATTACCATCAGGTCATATTCAAGCCCTCCGAGAAATCCCCGCTGGGAATTCTCGCTATGGCGCCGCTCTTCGCAGAGGCTGGATTCCCGCCTGGCGTCGTGCAATTCTTGACGGGCGCCAGAGAGACTGGAGCTTTGCTGTCTTCACACCAAAGAATAGCAAAGATCAGCTTCACTGGCTCCATTGCCGCTGGAAAAGCTGTCCAAGAAGCTGCGACGAATAGCAACCTCAAGAAAGTCACTCTGGAGCTTGGCGGCAAATCAGCAGCTGTAGTGTTTGACGATGCGGACTTTGATCTCTGCGTGGGCTGGTACGCCTTTCTTACCTTGAACCTTGTTGAAATATATCTAATTTGACACCCTAGCGTCGGCGGTGGCTTCCTCGCCAACTCGGGGCAGATTTGTGTTGGTAAGTCCAACAGATGAGACTGGCGTCGATGGCGAAAATTCTCACCAGTGTGCAGCGGCCTCTCGCGTGTTGATTCAGGAATCTATTGCACCCAAGTTCATTCAGGCCATCAAAGAGGTCTTTGAGCAGGCCCGAGACGGTATGGGCAGCAGTCCTCTAGAACTTTCGACGCAGCACGGCCCGATAGTCGATAAATCACAGTTCGACCGAATCATGGGATACATTGAGAAAGGCAAGCAATCTGCCGAGCTCATCACTGGTGGTAACAGGAAAGGATCCAAGGGATGCTTCATCGAGCCGACGTTGTTCGTCAACCCAACCTCGGATAGCCCAATCTGGAAGGAGGAGATTTTCGGGCCCGTCCTCACAGTCAAGACGTTCAAGACCGAGGAGGAAGCCATCGAGCTAGCCAACGACACAGTCTACGGACTTGCCTGTAAGAGAGCGCCGATAAATCTGATTGCTTACGGAACTAACATTATTCCCTTCTTCCACAGCGTGTCTTTACACATCAGATCTCTCACGAGCCTTGCGTGTATCCTCGGCACTCGAGAGCGGCGGAGTTTCTGTGAACTCTCCGTACCTCCCGGAGCTCAACACTCCGTTTGGGGGTTCAAAGCAGAGCGGACAAGGCAGAGAGCTTGGCTCTCACGGCTTGTACAGCTACCTAGAACCCAAGTCAGTGCATATAAAGTAAGTTGGCCCAAGCGACGTGCGTGGCGTAGCCGTACCATGCTAATTGAGGCTTAGAATTACGGCAGCCAAGCTGTAAGAACAATGCAACAACCTGAGGAGAAGACGTGTGCCGGGACTTGTTCGTCTATATCTGCTATATATCACCAAAACCTTCTTGACTGAGATAGATACGCTGGATAAGCGGCCGAGGCGTATCAACAGATTAGCACCGTATAAGGTTTTTGCCACGAAGTAAATAAATTAAATTCTTCATCACACGTTTAGACAATTCGTCAAATGAATGGGGACATGTTGCATTAGAGTGCTACTACCATTGATCGCCGTTCGGCAAGCATCGTGCCGAATTCCGTATTTGCCGGAGAGGTCCATCGTGGATCCGCCGGGAGAGGAGACCTCGGCATCAGTTCCGCTGAGCCCGAAGACCCTACAGACTCAAAACAGCCACTTGGGAAGATAATTAAAATGACTACAAAGCTCAATCGGAAGATTGGCACCTTGCATATCAATCCTTCTTGATTTTACAGAATACGCACAATTGTCGCACATCTCAATCAAAATGGCCGAAGTCCGCACCGAATTCTACGTCAGGAGAACTCTCGTTGTGCCAGCCAGTGTGCCAAAAGATGGTGAGCTGTCCAGTCGCAAAAGTCTCGCCGGGCCTTTGAGATTGTCCGTCCATGATTACTCGGTTCTCGATGCGAACCCCGATGGCGCCACCTTCGTCCTCACACATGGCAATTCTTACAACAAATATTTCTGGGAGCTTATCATCAATCTCCTTCTGAAACGGCCGGATCTAAAGCGATTTATCAAGAGGTTTATCGCTATCGATGCAGCAAACCATGGCGATAGCGCGATGCTGAATCGAGGCGTGCTACCAGTCGAAGGTCAGCGCTACAAAGCTCACGCAAAATAGGTGGGACGACATGCTGATTTGATGCGCAGCATGTTGGCACGATGTGTCCAGAGACATTCTCAGCACGATAGAATATGTTCAGGCTCAAAAGCCTGTCATTGGAATTGGCCACTCATATGGAGGAGGAGGACTGTAAGCGTCATACAATTGGATATTATGTTCCTGGACTGAATGCCGTTCTAGATGCCACGCAGCAATGCTTGAGCCAACAGCCTTTCTTGCCGCTATTCTAGTGGAACCTATTCTTTTCGCGATGGAAGCGGAGACAAAGATGGTTGTTCAGATGGCCTTACGGCGCCGAGACACATGGGAAATCAAAGTGAGCAGACGGCGAAATACTGATAACACGAAGGCCGGAGTTGCTAACGACAGCACCAAGGGCGGATGTCACGGCAGCATTTCAAAAGAGCAAAGGGTTTCGAAGCTGGGACAGGCGACAATTGCAAGTCTACCTGTAAGTGACCCTCTTCAATCCCATAATCGTCATTTTTCAGTAGTGACCTTGTGTGCCAGATCATGAATCTATGCTGAAGATCCCAACGACCCTCGTCAACCGTGCACCTTGCGACCCCAAAGAACAGGAAAGCTGTAGGTGTCTTCAAGCTCTCCCAGCTTTACGACAATGCGTTGTGGAATCCACTGACATACATCCACCGCTCAGGCCTCCTACACTGCAGCGCCGCATCCAGTCATCCTTGAGCTTATCGAAAAGTCCAAAGGCCGAAATCATTTCATCTGGGGTGGAAACAGTGAGGTTGTGTACGTTGCAATACAACCTAGAGAAAATCCTTCTCGCTGACTTCAACATAGCAATCACGAGAGACAGGAACATGTCGCGCGACTAATAAAGCCACCCAGTACATCGCAGGTCATGGCGGGTGCCGATCACGCAGTGAGTGTTGTGTCCGTTATTCCCATACTGGCATTCATTTCTCACACGTGTGATCATCAGATCCCGATGTCGCGTCCTGAGCAATTGACTGCGATTATAGCCGAGCTGGTGATGCCACTATTCGGTGGCTGGAGCGTAAAAGGCAAGCTATGAGACGCGCGGCGTTGCACGTGGATGATTCAGGTGGACGGAAATTCCGTAATCAGTTCCGCAGCTCCTCTTCCTTGATCAGGGGGTCATCGCGAACAGGGTCATTCGCCAGGGAGTACGTTACCCCGGAGAGCTAGAGCCATGCGGGGTCCGGGGTAGGCGGGGAGAGGTTAGGGGTGCTGTGTCCAGACCTCCAGGGTCTCGTCTACAAGCGATTCCTTCAGCTGTGCGCTAAAGCCAAGACCGGGCGCTGCCAGAATCGCCAGAATCAGCAGTAGCTTGAACTTTACATTAATTGACTAGCGACATCCCTGCAGTGTGTGCTCGGTTTCCATGGGTCAAAACCAAAGAATGACTCGCCAGCATCGTAGGCGCCATTGATCTCCCCGAATGCCCCACGCGGGGAGACTCACCTCAACGCAATCTGTTTCCTGAGACTACACACCAGTTGCACATCAACATCGACTGCGACATCATCGTCATCATGGACTCCGATAAGCAGCAAGACAGTGCCAAGGCATCTTCTATTGAGGTCATGACCACCACAGATCGTGTTGACCACGGTTCTGAGAAGCCGGAACGCCGGCTATCGCATTCAACCGACGCATCGAAGAACAGCAACAAGAAGACGGCAGAAAAGCGAGCAGATGATCGAGCAAGTCCAGATTCTGCAGAGCAACCAGCGAAGAAGATGAAGAGGGGGAAGTACATTTCAAGAGCTTGGTATAACGATCTTTCTCCGATTATCTCATGTCTTCGGTTAGGCCACTGACACTTGCCCAATGCTAGCACATCTTGTCAACAGCGAAAAGTAAAGGTAAGTCACACGAGTTGTACACACATCCCAGGAGTTCTGCTGCTAATTCCTTCCAAAGTGCGATGGCGGCGAGCCGTGTGCTCAATGTATCGCCCGGGACCAGCCATGTGTCTCCGCGCCAAAAGGCCATAATGCGCATGCAGCGATGGAACAGCGAAGCCGTACTTTCAGTGTAGGCGAGGTCGATGCCGTGCGTCGTGCAGGTGGCAGGTAAACGATGCGCTCATTTCCCACATTGCGCTTCATGAAGATTCTGACCAGCATGCAGCACCGCGGGGAACGCCAGTACTATGGAGCTGCTTGCTCGTTTGGCCGAAGTGGAGCATCGACTAAACATGATCCCGACATCCAATTTCGATGCCATGCTGTACAAGAGTCAACCACATCATGCGAAAGGCCATTCGACGGCAGGCGAGGATCACCAGATCTCCTCTACGATTGATCTATCAAATGTGATGGAGCCAGACGGCCAAACATTCGCGGGTGAGATCTCGATGAGCCCAGGCCTCCAAGGCATGGATGACGACATGGATAGAATGGCCGCGGACTCATCCGGGATGATGGCAGAATATCCATCTAGGTCTCCAAATCCTGCGGGAGACAGTTCTCCACGAAAAGTTCGTGCCTGGTTGGAGGCCATTCTTGACCAACACGGCGTCGTTGCTGATGAAGAGGCCTGGAGACGATATTTGCATATTTTCCTCGAGGAAATCCACATCCTGTATCCGATACTACACGCGCCTACTCTCTGGGAGACCTTCAACGAAATGTGGGAGTACTCCGCTCTATGGCCTCTCACGAGCTCGGCAGAGCGAGAACAGAAGCGGATGGCTGTGGCTCTTGTGTGCTTTTGTTTGGCTCTCGGAAGGTGCAGCGTTTCGAGCCGGGTCACTGATGCGAATGGTGTGCAGTCTGCTGGCTGGACTCTATACAGCGTTGGTATGAGCCTTCTTCAAGACTCAACAGAAATGAGTAACACGGCCGCAAAGTCACTTTTGACTCTACAGATGCTCTTAATCCGGGTGAGTAAGCAGCGGAAACGTCAAAAAAGTTATCTCGCAAGTGAAGCGCAGCACTGACAGGTTCCTCCAGGTAATCTACCTTTTCCGCCTCGACGCTACTCAACGGGCGACCCGACTTCTTGCCCTGGCAGTATCCAATGCCCACATAATTGGTCTGCACCGACAGAGCACCCTCGAAAATATGCCTGCAGTGGCCAGTCAAATGTACACGAGATCGTGGTGGTCTATTTACGTACTAGATCGACGTCTGGCAATCGAATCCGGCCGTCCATACCTAATCCAGGACAGCAATGTCGATACAGCACTACCTCTAGACCTCAGCGACGCATGGCTGACTCGTTTCCAGTCGAGGCCCGAGAAGATCTCACAACTGCAGAGAGAGGTGGCACTCGAGCTTGCCAGTGAGCCGATTACGGCGATTCCGTATATAGCGGCGATGGTACGATACTCGAGAGTCGTAGGGAAGGCCTGGGAACTACTTTACGGTGTCAAGTCTGCGAACTCGACATCGTCTCCGATGGTGGAGTATGCTGATACAGTCTTGACTGATCTCCTCGACACATTGCCTCCATGTTTGACATACGACCTCAACATCCCGAATGAGGTGCAATTTGCATCAAGGCTGCGATGGCAGGTCAAACAGACTGTGCTACTGTATACAGTGAGTTGGCCATGCACAGCCACACACGTCTGCAATCACGACTAAAAAAACACAGTGCACACATTTCCTCCGCTTGCTCATGCGACGGCCATTTTCATCTCACGTACGACGTTTTGATCGAGCCGAAGACGATGAAGTCGAGTGCGCCACAGTCTGTGCCAGTCTCGCGGCGAGAATACTCAACGTACACGAAAGCATCCAAGACGATACTCTCAAGTACTGCTTCCCATTCAGCCATTATCTCACGAGCTCAACAATGATCATGATGGGACTTTTCACACGAGAACCCAGCTTGAAGAAACGTCATCGAGCCACAGTTCTCGCTGCGACTCGCTCGCTCAATACCTATTGTCACAGAATATGGGTGTCCGGGAAGATGATGCGCTGGGTGCAGAAGCTGACGTCCCTCGTCCAGCGCACATTCAAGGAGGGAGGAACGGACCGCGAGTCATCACAACGACGGGATAGCGTTTCTCTTAATCAAGAGGTCAGAGGGGATGATATGCAGCAACTGACGCCGCGTTCAGACCAGGCCGTCGAGTCTGAGAATGGCATACCCGCAGACTATCAGCAAACCAGACTTTTGGGCGGCTTGCAAGCGGGGAAGCAAGGGCTTGGTGGTTCCCCGTCTTGGAGCTTTGGTACAGACGGACAAGGCCCAAACCTTCCAGACTGGGCTATATCAGACTTTAACTTCGAAACCATCATAGCCGGAGAGGGTTCGGTTCAAAGGGCTCTCCAGTCTGGAGATTTGGCCACAATACCGGAGAATGGGTCCTCCACAATGAAGATCAGCAACATTGATTTGGACGAGAGCATGTTTGGTTCTCTTGGTCCGAATGGAATCTTCAACCTTGACATGGACATGGAACAGGCCACTTTGGGTCTTTTTAGCCCCGACATATCTAGGTATGCGTGAGACAAATGAAGATGATGAACGGGCAGGCGTTGGTGTCAGCGGGCTTGGACTGAAGAAAACATTGTACTATCTACATTGCCAATCTTAACAACGTTCTAATGCAAAACCTCGAATGACCAGGTCACAGCCTCGCGCGTTCCTGAGTTTCACGGCGGGCAATTGCTGCTGGTAGAAGTCGTCGTAGAATCTTCCCAGCGGGGCTTCTCAAATGTCAGCATAGTCTTCGCTGCCCTCTGGAAGGGCGCTTGCTTACTTTCTGGGAATAGCCTCAAGAATGTGAATGCCTCCCGAAAGTTGCTTGTATCTGGCAACCTTGGAGTTTGTGTGTGCGAGGATATCTTCTTTAAGTCGCTGTTGCTCTTGGTGGCCCTCTACATCAGTGGTGATGTAAGCGACAGGTATCTCGGATGTGCCGTGGTCATTGTACACGCCACAAACAGCAGCGTCATTCACTAATGGGTGGGTGATAAGGATGGCCTCAAGTTCAGCGGGAGCGACTTGTTGCCTTCACGCCAAAGTCAGTACACGAAATGATCAAAGGTATTTCAAGCGTGGCAACTTACCCTTTAACCTTGATCATCTCCTTCGCCCTGTCGACGATAAAGAGGTATCCGTCCTCATCAACGTAACCAATGTCTCCGGTCTTCATGAATCCATCGGCAGTCATGGGGCTATCGACCTTTCCACTGCTGACGTATCCCTGCATGATGTTCGGGCCACGGATAATAAACTCTCCAATCTTCGCGTCTGTGGCACGTCAGCAAGTCACCTTTCGGCCCAGGGCACATAGGTCCCAGAACGCACCGTTTCCGTCATCGTCAATGATTCGCATTTCGATCCCAGGGAGCAGCCTGCCAATGGTTCCTTTGAGGTTGACTTCGTTCTCTCGCTGTGAGGCCACACTGGGGCTGGCCTCTGTCATACCGTACCACTGGGTGACGGCGCAGCCGAACCTTTTTGTGAGCTCATCTGCTTGTCTCTGGTTCAGTGGTGCAGCTGCGTTCATCATACACTGCACAGATGAGAAATCTCCCTGCGCAGCAGGCGGGTTGCGCAGAAACTCAAGTGCGATTGGGGGGACAACATTAATATGTGTGACTAGAGGGAATCATCAGTGACGAGCGTATAAATCCAAGATCGCCCGTGGGTCAATTCTTACTGCGATGCTTCTTGACAGCTGCAAGAAGCGGGCCCATATCAAATCTCTTGAAGGCCACGATTGGCGTTCCCTAAACCTCATCATTAATCCTTGTCCCCACAGCTGTTCTGGGTCATCTTACCTGGCAGACGTATTGGCACGAGAATCCAGCGAGGCCCAGAATATGAAAGAAAGGCACGATGAGAGCCACAACAGTTTTTGGTGTGAACATCCCTTCTAGCCCTTTTGATTGCTGGAAAATGTTTGCCACAATATTACCATGGCTTAGCTGTACTCCTTTGACGAGACCCGAAGTGCCGGAGCTGAAGCAAATAAAAGCCAAAGAGTTAGCGGCAGCTCCTGGCGGAAGGCTTCTCGGCTCGAAATGAGAAGAACCGTGCTGCAGTACGTGCTCGACCCTGAGTACCTCGACATTGTTGCCGTGAGCTTCCAGAGAATCCCAAACATGCAGGGTTGGCCTATGTGGGAGGTCGGACGTGATGAGAATTGCATTCGAAAGCCGCGAAAGAAGATCTTGCTCAACCAGCACATGTTTAGGCTTGCTTAGTCCTAGAGCATGTGATAATTCCTGGAACTTGTCAGTCCTGGTCGTGTCAAGCAGAAGTGGACACTTACACTAGGCTCGTAGAGAGGGTTCAGTGCTGAGACCACCGCGCCGGTGGCTAAAATAGCATGGACGCAGATTGGGAAATAGTGCTTCGGGATCCAGAGTCAGTTATTTGAATTCATCAAAAGAAAAATTGTAGATTCCGTACTCGATTTGTTGATAGGATGCCCACGACGTCACCGGGTTTCAAGCCAATCACGGTCTGAAAATGATGAGCAAGCTTCCTGACGCCAGTCCGAAAGCTTTCATAGGTGAAAACTGTTTTGCCCGAGAGGCCATCAATTATTGCTGGATGGCTGTCGGGTGTATTGTTCAAGTTGTAGTTGAGTAATAGTTCTGTCAAGGTCAGATCTTTGGGATACTCGAGCACGTGCTGACTAGTGTAAATCATCTTGACGGAGGATTGCTTTCAAAGTGTACCAGCAAAAGAAATCAGAAGAGCCGCAAAACAATTTGTGAGCTACAAGAATCATAGCCCAAGCTCACACAGGACCTGATGGCATTTTGTTTGGCCATAGCTGGACACCCGGGCGTTCGGTCCAGGACCCCGAAGCTACGGTCAACCCCGGACTGGTCAAGTTCCGGCGACTTCGGAATTTCGATTAGTGCTCCACTCGCACCCCAAAGATGGATTTCCAGACTCTCCGGAATTATTTCCTCACATCGCCCATTGTCCTCGTGACGTTCGCATTGCAGTGCTGCCGATACAAAGACATAAAGTATTCGATTGAAGTCGGCACTGAAAGTTACTGCCAACTTCACACAAGTCTATTACTTACACCCATATCACTTCTACACCAAAATCATGTCTCCAACCCGCGCAAAGGTCGCCTTCGTCACTGGTGCGAATGGTATTACTGGCAATGCCATTGTCGAACACCTCATACGTCAGCCAGCGACCGAATGGTCCAAGATTGTCATTTCTTCCAGGAGGACACCTACACAAGTGTTCTGGCAAGACCCTCGCATCCGTTTTATTGCATTGGACTTCTTGAAGCCGGTCGATGAACTTGTGGAGGCTATGAAGCCGTTGTGCCACGACGTCACACATGCCTTTTTCGCCTCCTATGTCCACACTGCCGATTTCGCCAAGCTTCGGGACCTCAACGTCCCTTTGTTCAAGAACTTCCTTAGTGCCATCGACACGGTCGCCTGGAACTCGTTGAAGCGCGTCTGCCTCAGCACTGGCGGAAAGGTAGGCATTCGTCCTTGATCCATTCATGGAACCGGGAACTCACACACAGATGATTAGAACTACGGCGTGCATCTTGGCCCTGTCGAGGTCCCAATTCACGAAGGGATGCCTCGCTATGAGGATCATGGAGAGAACTTCTACTACCCCCAGGAAGATTATCTCTTCGATCTCGCTTCCAAGAGAGAATGGGACTGGAATGTCATCCGTCCCAACGCCATCATTGGATTTACGCCTGCTGGTAAGTCATATTGCCATTGAAAAACAACAAATGTTATTCCTGACAGTATCACAACAGGTAACGGCATGTCTGCCGCCTTGACTCTGGCCATCTACATTCTGACTTGTCGTGAGATGGGCGAGGTACCTGTATTCCCCGGAAACAAGTTCTTCTACAACTCTGTCGATGACGCATCTTACGCCCCCAGCCTTGCAGACATGAACGTTTGGGCAGCTACATCCGAAAATACCAAGAACGAAGCATTCAACCATACCAACGGTGATGTCTTCGTGTGGAAGCACTTCTGGCCGAAGCTTGGAAAGTACTTCGGTGTTGATGTGAGTTTTGTCTCTGGCCAGTCCGCTCCCACTCCTGACTTGGTTTGATCAGTTCCCCGAAATACAAGAATGGAGCGCTGCGGGTGACGGCCAGCGCATGGAGCATAACTTCCTCATGACCCAATGGGCCAAAGACAAGGCGCCCGTCTGGAAACGTGTCGTAGAGAAGCATGGTGGAAATCCCGAAGCATTCAACTGGGGTACTTGGGATTTCTTTGACTGGGCAGTTGGCAAGGCTTGGCTCACTATTGGCTCCGTTTCCAAGGCTCGCAAGTTCGGCTGGACCAGGTACGATGACACATACGACACGTACATTGAGACCTTCCGCTCCTTCGAGAACGCTGGCATTCTTCCCCTCACTGTTGAGCAGCCGTCGCCGCCAACCGATACCAGAGCCAAGCTCGCTCCTCATCCTGGCGATGCGGTGGCCGCACGCGAATCCGCGGCTGCCGTAAATGGCTCCAAGAAGGCTGAGCCCAAGTCTAATGGGGTTGAGCCTCAGTCACATGGAGTAAAGAGCTTCATTGTGGACTCGAAGTTTGGCACGGAGGTCGGTCACGTTGAGACTGTAGAAATTGTCAACTAGGGGCTTGGTCATGGTGCTTAACGTATTCTGGCGTTGCTTTACGTAGGCTTGTTCAATTCACGTCATTTCTACATCGCAATGAAACACATCCTAAACTCGTGAGCCCTCGTTCTGTCTGCGCAAATACCAAGACACATGTTCGTCTGCGTGAATAACCAATCCTTGACCGAATACCTTAGCGCAGTCAAAATGCAATGCCATCTGTAGTCGAGGCAATGAAGTTAGCAGGACATCGGAATATGATACTACGGAATTCAAAAATCGGCATCGACATAACACAAGTCACTCATTTTGAGGTGGCTCGCTATCCGCAGGATCCGGCGATATCAGTTGGTTGATAAAGTTGCCAAGCAGTGTTCCGTCCAGTGCTTGGCAGATGGAATTCGCCAAACCTTAATGGTTCCAAGGCATGATCGATAGGCCAAACGACGTATTACAGGTTGCACCATATTAGTTAATGGTGAAAGTTGGTTGGTTGCGGAAATCCATCGGAAATCCCAAAGTGGCTTTGATGGCCAAAACGCCCAACGACTAGGGGGCGAGCTGTGTCACAACCTGAATGGAGGCCAAAGCCACCCCCAAATAGTCCCACTAGGTTGTGGAATTTCCCTTGGAGCTACCCCACGGGGACCCCAGGCTCGCAATTTCGGGATGGAGGTTTTGGCAGTTCAGTTGGCCATTCAGTGCAAAGTCTGGCACATGAACCTTTGGTTCAATCGAATAAAGACAGCCGTCGCCCTCGTCCATTTGTTGAGGGTCTGCAGTAGACAGAACACCACTCAGCATCTTTGCACCTTCCAGCAACACCAATTGCTTTCAGAGTCATGGCGATCACCGAGAAGACAGACGTTGAACACGTCTCGTCGAGGGATGTGGAAGCCCTGACCAAGCGCCCAACTGTTGAGCCTGTGCCGCAATCTGCCAAAGCCGAAGCTGGCGTCATCCTTCGCGTTGACACGGCAGCTGATACAGGTCTACGCCTTGCTAAGGACGGACATGTAAGTATCTCCTTTCGCAATCACTCGAGGCGACTTTCACTGACCACCCCTCAGACTGTTCTTCTTCCGCAGCCTACTGATGATAGAGATGACCCACTCAACTGGCCGTCATGGAAAAAACATGCCGTTCTATTCGTAGTCGCATGGGGAGCGTTCTGTGCCGACTTTACATCAGCTGCAGGCAGCGCTACTATTCTGTTGCAGGCTCAGGAGTGGCATGAAAGTATCAGTCGAGTGAACGAGACCAATAGCATCAACGTCCTCATGATGTGAGCAGTTTCAATGTCTCCAAAATCGAAACCTTTACATGTACTGATCTTCCTAGGGCTCTGGGTGGTTTGATCTGGGTGCCAATGACTTCCATCATCGGCAGAGCCCCTACACTGTTCTGGTCGAACCTCATAGGTTTTCTCTTTACGATTGGAACAGCCCTCGCGCCAAACTTTACGACTTTCTACGCCATGCGTGCGCTGAAGGGTTTTTTCATTACGTCTTCGCAAACCATTTCGATTGCATTCATTAGAGACATGTTCTTCCACCACGAACGAGCTCGCAAGATTGGAATCTGGGCCCTGCTTTACATCGCCTCGCCTTACTGGGGTCCTCTTGTGGGCAACTTTGTCCTTCGGCGCCACCCACAAGTGGCAGGATATATTTTGGACCTGTGTCGGCGTGGTGTGCTCTGGACATGTTCTTTTATTGTCATGTTCCTCGACGAAACTTGGTACAACCGCGAGATTCACTCTTCCAACCAACCTCGACGTGGGGCAGGCTTTTGGTCAAGAATGTCCCGCATTGTCGGCATTTGGGAGTTTCGCAACCAGAAGGGCTACTACAAGCCTGTCTACCAATCTTTCAAGAAGTACATCATTACTTTGACGAAGCCAGTCGTTTTCCTCGTCCTTGCCGCATAGTAAGTTTCCAGGCAGATCCACCGCAGCTTGTGTCGGAAGCGGACACTGACTAATATGATGCACAGCCTGCTCTTCTTCGCTTGGGCCATTGGCATCAACATCACGACTGCTATTCTCTTCGGCACCCCGCGTGAGTTTGGTGGCTACGGGTACTCATTCACGAGTCTCGGCTATCTTTATTTCTCGCCCATCGTCGGTGTCATCTTCGGAGAAGTATTCGGCCACTACATCAACGACTGGATCGCTCAACGCTACGTTCGTAAGCACAATGGTGTCTTCGAGCCCGAGGCTCGTCTTTACATGATCTACTTGGCCGCTATTCCCATGATCGGAGGTCTTGTTCTACTCGGCCAAGCACTCGACCGTCATCTGTCTGTCGCAGCGGTCATCATGGGATGGGGCCTTCACAGCTTCGGAATCATGCTCACCTCGGTGGCGGTCTCTGCGTTCGTGTTGGACTCGTATCCAACCGCCCCTGCTGAAGTGTCGGGCTGGTCGAACTTTGCCCGTGCCATTGGAGGATTCAGCGTTGGCTACTTTCAGCAGCCCTGGGGTGCCAAGGTTGGGTTCGATGGCAGCTTCGGTACCCAGGCTGGGGTTGTCGCTTTCGGCGTGATTATTGTTGGGATTGTTCACAAGTACGGTCACTCTCTACGTCTCAAGGCTGGACCGATCGAGCAGTAAGTGAGGCGATATTAGTAGCTGTTTCTAAGTTGAGGAGATGCAAATCGCCTTGAAACTACACGACCATGGGGGATATGTGGAAGGTTCTGGGGGCGTCGAGACGCAATTAGTTATTTGAGTATCACCTATTATCTGTAGGCCATGGCGTATTGCGAGTATTTGCGCGTGACCAAAGAGCCATTGTTGCGTTTTTTGGGGTGTTCTGGTGGTGCTTACAGAATATAATATTCTGTGTTTACAAACTTCACCACGTGGGTCGTAACATTGCTAATGACAGGATTCACAGCAAAACTTGTAAGGAGACACCTGCGGAGCTAAGAAACAGGTAGCTTCAGGGGGCTGGTACAGGGGCTGAGGCCATGTAAAACCGTATACAAGGGCAGTAAATGTCCTCCTATCTGCAGCGGGCCGGGCCCGCATTCGGATGCTTTTTAAGCCCCTAGCTCACAATTGATGGTGCAACAGGCCTGCAGAAAGCTCCTTCACTCTGCTCGGTCCACCATGTTGGCAAGCGTCACGTTTTGGAGACTGTCAAGCCACGCTTGAAGCGGAATACCTACCATGCGTAATGAACTTTTTTTACGTATTTATTTCTTCAATTTCTTTGTTCTTCTACAAAATACTTTCCCTCTCCTTGAGTCTGACAAATAAATTGCTCTGCTTGACGAACCAGGCGTTGTGCAGCACCCAGGGCGAATCTGGATCGACCAATTCAAGCTTCAGGCGACGTTAGTCAAGGTGGTCATCTTGAGCAGAGTGTAACATGGCTTACCTCGAAAGTCCTCAGAATCGCTGGTACAAGTTTGAAGATCTCAAGAAGCGAGATGTTCTTCCCAATGCAAGTTCTTGAGCCAGCGCCGAATGAGAATAGACAGCTCTTCATCAAGGAGAGCTCAGCCGGATTGGCATCAATCCACCGCTCCGGGCGGAACTCGTCGGTTCTTGAGCCAAACACCGACTCATCACGGTGCACGACCCAGGCCGAACAGCCGACGATTGTCCCTCCAGGAATACGCTGGCCGGCAACATTGATCCCTTGACTTGGCACCACTCGCTCAAGCGTGAGGCCGGCGGCGGGATGGCATCGGAGAGCCTCGTTGATGACGGCGCTCAAGTACGGCAGGGAGCGCACCTCCTCCCACTGGACCAGTGCATCCGGGCGTGCAAATCTGCCAGCCTGGCTCTCTGTGGATAGTTCATGAAGGAGCTTCTCCATCTTCTCCGGGTGCTTCAGGAGCAAGTAGAACACGGCCCGAAGGCTGATGGCGGTTGTATCAGAGCCGGCAAACATGTTGGCGACCGTCAAGGCCAGCACGCGCTCCTCGCTGATGAACTCCGGATCCTTCTTGCGGGCATCCTTGAAGCGTGACAGAAAGTCTTTCCGCGCCGTCTTTCCGGTGGGTAGCTCTTCCTGAGCTTCTTTCTCAATGTCGCTCCGCTCTGCCATTCGCCTTTTTGCGAACTCAACCACGGGCGAGTTGAAGTTAAGGAGGTTGTGTTTGCTCAACCACATTCTGAAGGGGTTCTTGAGCAGCAGCTTATCCAGGATCGGCAATTGTCCTATCTGCGAGCGTGAATCAGATTGACTTTCTCTATGCCATACAAACAAGGATGGAGTACTTACAACCGCCACATAGTTAAGCAGACCCTCGAGGTTTTGGATGATATCATCAACATCCTCACCACGGTCCACAAAACCCAGTCTCTTGGAATACGTCAACTCGCCAATGACGTCGAAAGCATAAAACTGCAGCCATTGGCCGAAATCAAGTTCGCCGTTGGCCTTTTCGTTCCGGGTGTACCGCTGCTTGAGCTGCTTCAGGAATTCCTCAGAGGTCGAATCCACAAGCGGCTCAAAGTTGACCAGCGTGCTCATCGAGTAAGCGCTGGATACAGACCGTCGCAGCCTGGCATGGAACTTCTCGTCTGTCGTGTTGAACATGCTCTGGAGGCAGTGACCGTTGGCGATCGTCTGCTGCACAGGGTAGAAGCCCGACTGTCGCGCTGATGAGCGTCATGTTCCCGGCCGAGGCGCAAGGGGAGGAGGTTTACCTTGACAAACCCTGCATTCAGAGCGTAGATTGTCTTGATCGCCTCCGCGTTGCCTACCGAGACGGTGCGCGGTCCAAGCCGGACCAGTGGGCCGTACTTTTCGTGCAGTTTGATGTGCGAGAGCTCTGGTCGACGTCCCCACACGATGAACAGGCGCCACCAGTCGGTGAAGCTCGCGGCGAACGGGCCTGGTATGCCATTGAGCCCTCCGCCGAACCGGTTCACTAGTAACTTGGCAGCGAGAAGCGATAGAACGAGGGCGAGATACCCGATAGCCGTCTTTGGTAAAACCTGTTCGATGAGCATGTCGGCGGTGGTGGTTGTTGGCTTTTCGACGTGCAAGTGTTGGTGGCGTACCACAGGATCTTTTCAACAGTATGGCCTTACAAGCCCTGGGAGATTGCTTCCTGCATTCGACGTACATGCATCTACACGTTCGTTTCCAGCAATTATCAATTGCAATTCAGAGCGTGCAGCGA